TGAGCAAGATGAATTAACATGTTTTTGACACTGATCTATGCATCATACCAGTTACTTTCATAGTGATTTCCAACACCTGTGGGTAAGATGGATGTTACAACCACCCCCAAATATTTGTATTATTTGTTATTTTACCTTAAACTGCCATGTGGCAACCATCTAATTCACCCATCTTTTCTTTCTTTCTGTCCCCCCTCGAGACCTCTCTCTTCTTTCTCTCTCTCTCTTTGTACTATGTCTCTCTCAACTCTCCCGTAGCTCTCTCTCAGCTCTCCCGTACCTCTCTCCCTCTACTTCTCACATCATTCTCTTCCTCTGGACATTAGGACCGTGTCACCATCGAGGAGGCTCGCAACGAGCCCAGGACCCCTGCCCTGCGAGTTCGACGGCACGGAGCAAAGTTTCGACGAACCTTTTCTCTTTTTCCATTGGGGTAAGTCACGAATCTCTCATTCTCTCTCTTAGAGTGATGTTTGGTTGTGTTTTCTGAATCAAATCCTTCCCTCTTTACGTAGGTTGTACCTTGGAACGAGTTGGGTTGAGCACACCCGTTTTTCCGGCAAACCCGTCAGTTTTGAGGGGATTTCCGGTCACCTTCGACTGTGTTACGATTATTTGAAGGTAGCAATCTCTTCCTCTCCTCTTGTTCTTCATGTTCATACTTAGATCGGAGTCTAGAACATCTGTTTTCAAGTGACCGGAGTTGTAGCAGCTTTGGCCTTCTTCTTCGGCAAAACCCCAGGCCATCCGGCCTTCCCTCCCCCTCGGGCCTTAGGCCTGTGTTGCCTCAGCCCAAAACCCTAACCCGCTTGATTTTTATTTTTAGTTATGTTGTTTTTTAAAACCCCAAAGGGCCTTGGGCCGGTTTTTGTTAAAGGGCTTAAAGCCTAGCCTTTTATTTTGTGAGGCTCAGGGCCTTTGTGGTGAGAGTGTGTGTTGTGAGGGCTGGCCTTTATGCAGCCCGTGTGTGCGTGTGTGTATATGCATGCCATGCATGCATGTGCATGCCGTGCTTGTGTGTGTGTGTTTGTGGTGTGTGTGTGTGTGTGTGTTTGGGCTTAAGCCCAAACCTCATTTCTTTACCCTAAAGCCTTTTTACCCTAAAACCTTAGAAAAATCCCTTAATTTATTTAGTTCAAGCACAATCTTTTAGAAAATCCTTTTTATTTATTTATTACATTTTTGTGCCTAGGTAAAGTTGCTAGTGGAGAAATCCTTAATCCTTATCCGCTTGACTCTTCTGCTAAGGAATATTTGTGAGTGGACCCCTTCTAAAATTACATGATTTTATAAATTAATTGCATAAATGATTAGCATGCCTACGAATTTATGATTCGATTTATGTTAAGCCTGTTTACTGAATTTATTGAATTCGTCTCGTGTTTTTGGTGAGGAAATAAATGTTAGCCTATTTTGAGCTATATTTTAATATATCGTATTTTCTATAAAAACCATGATCTGGTAGACTATCTGATGGATGACGATAGGATGCTAGAACATGTTTTAGAAACCCCTCTTTATAGTATAGACGATGGATGACTTTATACTATGAAGTGGTTATTTATGAGAGGCGTAACTATTTGTGCGTACCTAGAGGACACTATGCTGCCTGGGACGAGGATCTAGTGTGAGCATTTAGGCCGGGAGTTGGTAATCCCTAGCTACGGGCTGAGGGACATGAAGCAGGCATTGGGCCGAGAGTTGGTAATCTCTAGCTACGGGAGCAGAGACCACGGAGCAAGTATTGGGCCGAGAGTTATATTTATTCAGTGATCTTTTTAGCAGCACACCGTGCTTACGAGACGATCTACAATGCGTTTATTGTTTTGATTTCCGCGATGTTTTTCCTTGATATAACTTTTGGAGATATTTTTGGCATGCTAGGATTTTTATTAAATCCATCACTTATTATGCTAGTAGTTTTTCATTATATAAACTGTGGGAGTTAGTACTTTGATAACTGTTTTTATTATTATTGTATATATGAACTTGGTCCACTCACATTTGTTTTACGCCCCCATTCAGGTCATAGAAACGAGGACTACGAGACGGCATACGAGGCATTCCCCTTGTAGACATCAAAATTTCGGTAAGTAAATGTTGACCGATAAATCAAAGTTTCAACGCTCATGTATTACATAATTTTTACACGTAGCGTGTGTCTAAACAAAAAATTGAAATAAGTTGGAAAAGTCATCAAGCAGGACACGTGTCAACGCCCGGCAGAAATGATTTATTTCATCTGATTATTTAATCCCAAAAATCAAGTTTTGGAATTCTATAAATAGAAGCCAATTTCATTCATTTGGGACCAATTCATATTACACCTTGAAGCTCTGAAGCTCTAAAACTTCGAAGCTCTCAAGCATCCAGGTTCCCAAAGAATCAAGAAAGCCTTCTTCGTTTTTCGTTCATCGTTCTTCCAAGATCAAGCCCCGACGGCCCTTGGATCAACAATGTTCCACCAATTCAAGATCAAGCCCCGACGGCCCTTGAAGAAAATGTTCATCGTTCATCGTTCTTCCAAGATCAAGCCCAACGGCCTTCTTCGTTCTTCAATCATCACCTTCCAAGATCAAGCCCCGACAGCCCTTGAAGAAAGTGTTCATCGTTCATCCGTTCTTCCTAAGATCAAGCCCCAACGCCCCCTTTGGATCAACAACGTCGACAAATCCACACACATCCAACCGTTCTTCAAGATCAAGCCCAAAAGCCCTTGAAGACCCGTTCATTACTGTCCTTCAAGATCAAGCCCAAAAGCCCTTGGAGATCCGTTCGTCACTGTTCTTCAAAGATCAAGCCCAAAAGCCCCTTTGAAGATCCGCTCAAATCCACCTGGCCCTTTGGATCAACAACGTCGACAAATCCACACATCACCAACCGTTCTTCAAGATCAAGCCCAAAAGCCCTTGAAGACCCGTTCATTACTGTCCTTCAAGATCAAGCCCAAAAGCCCTTGGAGATTCGTTCATCACTGTTCTTCAAAGATCAAGCCCAAAAGCCCCTTTGAAGATCCGCTCAAATCCACCTTCAAGATCAAGTCCACAGCCCTCGAAGAAACGTTCATCCTTAGATCAAGCCCAACGGCCCTTTGGATCAATCACACATCCACAAATACACACCTTACGGAGATCGAATCAGAGGATCAAGATAGAGAGAGATTGTAACCCAAAACAATCATCCAATACTTAATATTTGTTTGTGCACGTTGTTTCTTGTCTCTTTCGTTTCAGGAATTTTCCGTGTTCACAGTATTCAATTGGGAATTTAAGAGATTTTAATGGATTTATAAATCCATGCATTTTTATGGAATTTAATCGATTTGTAGAAATTCTATGTAAAATTTTGATTCAATTATCTCGAAATCTCATGAAGAGAGATAAGATTTGTGGATGCTTAAAATACACTACAAAATCTCTCCAATTCTCTCTAATTCCTCAACTTTTCCAAATTCTTATTCTAATTCTAATTGAATACACCTGGAATATTATAAACTTCTTTAAAATTCTAATTGAACACACCCGGATTTCTAAGGATTTTAATAACCTATCTTAAAATCCCGATTGAATACACATTGAATTTCAGATAATTACTTAAAATCCTGATTGAATACCCCTAGATTCATTAAAAGAATTAAAATATTTCAAAATCCTAATTGAATACACCTCATTTAGGGGTGTATTCAATTGAGAATGTGAGAGATTTTAATGGATTTATAAATCCATTGATTTTTATAGAGTTTAATTGATTTGTAGAGATTCCATATAAAATTTTAATTCAATTCCCTCGAAATCTCATGGGAAGAGGTGAGATTTGTGGATACTTAAAATACACTACGAAATCTCTCAAATTCCCTCTAATTCCTTAACTTTCTCAAATTCTTTAAAATCAATTTCTAATTGAATACACATGGAATGTTATAAACTTCTTTAAAATCTTAATTGAATACACCTGGATTTCTAAGGATTTTAATAAACTATTTTAAAATTCTAATTAAATACACCTAGAATTTAAGAGAATCACTTAAAATCCTGATTGAATACCCCTAGATTCATTAAAAGAATTAAAATATCTCAAAATCCTAATTGAACACACCTCATTTAGTTTGTAGTTTGAAATTAGCAACAGAAACCGGGTCTCTTTTTCTTCATTTGGGTTGGCCCAAACGTTACATTCTCAAGGCCCAATTTTTCACCCAACCAACCATGGAAACAAATACGACAACACCCCAACCGTCGTTTTCGTCTCGATTAAAGTGGCGCCCCTCGCGCTAGGGTTTTCGGGCTTTCCCTCACCAACATCCCTATAAAAGTACGAAACTGGTGAGAAAATCAGCAATCGCAGCCGCGTTCTGTTTCCTCTCAGTTTTCAGAAACCAAAATTTTCAGAAGCTGTTCTTCGATTCGTTTTCAAACTCTGCAAACTGTTTTCTGGTGATTCGTTTGATGCTTGTGAAGATGTTTTCGGATTTGAGTTTTTGAAAAAAAATGGGTAGTTTGGTTGCGGTGATTATAAAAATTCCTCGTTCTGAATTTGCCATAGCCATGGCTTGACAGACACCTATACACCCATAGAATATGAGCTCCAATCACCCATCAATTTCAACTTCCTTAATTTTTTTTTTCAATTTTGATATTTTCTGTATTTATTTTTTGGTATATTGGCTGTGATTTTCTCAGCCGCGTTCTGCAATTTTTGTCACCGTTTCGGAAAGCGGCTTGATAAAATTCCGGCGGTTCCTTGTCAAGCCGCTCACCGGCGGCGGTGCCAAAAATTGCAGGACTGTCATTGTTTGGGATCCAGCCTTTTTTAAATTCTTTTATTCGGGGTTTAGGGTTTGTGGAAAAGATTATCAGGATTAAAAGCCCTAATTGACATAAAAAAAATCCAGAAAATGTGGTTACGCACGTGACATTAGCTTCAACTGATCAATTGTAAAATGTGATATGTATAATTATGATTGGTAAACCCAAAATGAACGATGAAATGGATGGGTAGAGAGAGCAGTGATGAGCAGCTAACACGTAAGAAAATGTCCCGATTTGTTTGGGAATTTTCGATGAAATACAATTGTTACGCTTGGCTTCTGAGCACTCAACTTTTGGTTACCAAAAATTGTCTGGTTCTGATCGCCTCGACCCTAAGGTATCGTTTGGTATGCAGACGGAATGGGACGGGATAGGATAGGACAGGACTGGGATGAAACGAGGAGGAAGAAAGGAGAAGGAAATGTTATAATTTTGTGTTACACAGATGTGGAACGAGTCGTTCAAGGGGTGAGGCGGAACGAAAATTTACCTAAAATTCGTCCCATGAAACAGGACGTTCCACACCCGTTTTAGGCGCACCAAACGTGGAACGGAATGCCTCATCCTACTCTGTTCTGTCCCGTCCCACGTACCAAACGGTACCTAAAGTTACGAGGTTCTTTTGTCGAGTTTTGGGTTTCTTTGGAGTGTGGAAGACGATGAAGATGGATCGAGTTTCTTTCGTAATTATCATTCAAATTGTTCCGGTATCCATTTGAAAAGATTAACGGAAAGGAAGAACTTGCTTCAAAGTTTACCTCTTTGTGCAAACTTTAATCCCACATTACCATAATTTAACAACACAAAAAGCAGAGAATGTACAAATATTCTTTTGACATCTCGAGTTGGGTAAGTGAAAATTAGTTTCTGATTACTCAATGGGCATCTTGTATTTCATACAAATTAGATTGAAATTCAAGAATCATTAATCGATTAATAGGTAATAGGTTCCAGTTTGTTCGATTCGGACAAAAAAAGATTGCAGTGAGTTTGATAATGATCGAGTAGTAGCATAGGAACCGAAGAAAGTAGACATAAAAAGATTGGAACCTAAGGCCAAGGGCAGACAGGAACCCTATCATCAACCAAGAAAAGCCGGCGAGCAAAGCCACGACTTTCTTGAGCGGTGAAATAGATCGAACCCTTGACCTATCTTAATGCTGACTAATTTCGTTTGAAGCTTAATATATATCAACCAAAGGAGCCTTAATTTCAGAAGTAGTAAGGAAGCCAACAACCACAGAGGAACACATACTAAAATTTAAGTACACGAGTAAATAAAAAGAGACTAATTAGAAAACCTCACAAGTAATATTTTTCTTGGTAGTACACAGATAAAAACTCATTCTTTTTATTCTTCCTTGACCTACAAGGCAGGCAAGGAGGAAGAGTTGAACATATTGGACCCAAGGAGGTCGTTGCAAAGGCTAAACCCTTCATGGCTTCTATTATTTTTCTCTGCTCTTGGACTGCTCCCTGCACTGCTATTCGACAGAGACCCAAACGCCGTCTTCTGTAGAACCCCAGTCGGAGATGACCCTAAAGGCGAAGGGCTATTGTTATTGTTGTCCCAGCTGCCCCCAGTCATCAGATTAAGGACTGAAGAGTTGTTCTTGTATTCTGCTGCACCGTTGCTGCTGTTGGGATTGTGCAGAACTTCCCCTAGAGGACCGCCAAGTGAAGTCTCCCAAGCCGTTGGAATCCAATTTGCTTGCTTGATGTTGTTCTGTTCACTGAGGGCGTGACTGCTGCCTGCTCCCAATCCCATTGAGGCAGGGGACTCTAGTTCCCTTGAGAGATGGAGCGGTGAGAGAGTCTCATTGCTTGTGGAGGAAGCTATGGGGATCGAAATTGATAATTGGGTTCTGTCCGATTGCATGTCGAGTTGGTTAGGCCATGAAACAGGTTGGCAGTCGGATTGAGTTTTAGGGCAGTCGTCGATGAAGTGGCGAAGGGAATGGTGTTGTGAATTTGTTTCTGCAGGGTATGACGTTTTCTGTGAAGGGTTTAGGAGGGAGTCAGAGAGGACAAGCCCGAACTCTGTTCTTGGGGACTCTTCATGTCCGGTTTGCTGTTTCTGTGTCGAGAATGGGCTTTCTTTCGACAGCATGGAGAGGCCCATGGTGCGTTGAATTCTATCGCCCGCATTCTCTTTGTTCATGAACATCCTGCAAAGACAAATCAACACAAAACAGATACAAACCCGTAAGAACCACCAATACGAATCATACAGTTAATTAACATTGTCGAAACTGTGTAGATTCTAGTAACTTCAGCTAGTAAAAGAGAACTGACCAACATCATCAGATTCTGTGATTCTTTAGACTGTACAAGCAACAGAAATGATTTCAACACACATTTTTTCTTATGCACTACTCTTCTCATTTTCCCATGATTCTCTTTTCGCTTATTCAATCGATCGGCTAATGAAAAAGTGAGGAGTGCAATGAGAGGAAAATGGAAGTGCGGAAATCATTTTTTTTTAAGTAATAAATGTGGTACTTTGGGAGCAGCCTCTCCATAAAATGGGGGTAAGGCTAGCCGACATTCATCTCTCCCAGACCCTGCGTAAAGCGGGAACCTTGTGCACTGGGTACGACCTTTTTTAATAAATGTGGTACTACTACTATGCAAAGTTTGAATACTAGCTGTAAGTCTCAAAAGGAATAAATGCTGAAAACATAAGAAATTGAGGACCAGTGAGTGAGTCTAAACTTTTTATTTCACCTGCTCATCTGAGTGGTTGCTGCAGAAGAATTAGATGCAGCAGGCTGCTGCAAGCTCTTGAGCTGCTGGTTGGCAACAGCAAGGCTGCTGCCACCACCGCCACCGGGAATGGACACTACGGATGTTGATGACGAAGAAGCCAAAGGCTGCTTTGAGGTGGTGGTGGTGGTGGTGGTGGTTCTGGTGTGGCCAGTGTGGCCTTCCACAGGCTTTCTTGAACGGTGGCGGCCTCTGTTCATGTGCCGCTCACAATACTTTTGGTCAGGAACGGCATCTCTCCAGCACCGCCATTTCTTGCCGTCGGTCCTACGACACCTTCCCGGCTCAGGATCAGTGTTGTTGGAGAATCCCAAATGGATAGAACCCCATCCCACTGCACGTACACAACCCCCGATGGGTGAAAAACTTAGAATGCAAGAAAGGGCACGAATATTGTACAATCAAAGCATGCATCTAGAAAAAAGGGTGCGCGGAAACCATTTTCCTTTACGTAAAATGAAGAAATTACATGAATTGGGCCTGAGAAGTCCGTTCGGGAACGTCGAAAATCCAGCAGAATCAAGAGCCTTCTTGATTGGGAAGAGCAAATTGGATGGAATAGGCATATTTGCAGTGATGTATTTGTAGATCAAGGCCTGGTGTTCTAGCTCCATCCATTGGGATGGCGTGAAAGGTCCTCTGCCTCCTGCTAAACTCCAATGCATGGCAGCTCCTCCATTACTCAAACTCCCAGTATTTTGCCCTGAAACACAACCACAAATCGGAAAACCAAAAATAAAATTAAGAAAACTAAAAACTCCAAGAACAAATATTTTCAGAAATCCAAAATAAACTATTCAAGTTTTGTTTATTTCCCAGTAACCGTCGCACTGAATTTTTATTTATTTAATTTTTTTTTTAAAAAGGCATGGCAGAATATGCCTAAAAATTAAACCGCGTCTTCAGCATTTATGGAAGCTACAAAATCATGAATTTCTTCTTTTTGCTAGAAGAAGATAGTAAAAAGGAAAAAGAAAAGGAAATCAGAACCAATCAAAGAATAGGTATTTGCTATTTTTTAGTGCTTGACAAGACTCACAGTATGAAAAGACCTCCCACCAAAGTCTTCCTGGGGAACCAAAGCAAACTACATATATTTTTTTTTGGTAAACATTTACCCAACCCTCCATGCAGATGCAACTTTTTTATTTTAAATCGAAACAACGCAGTGCTGAATCAATCGTAACTGTAATTAAACATGATTACGAATTAATCAATTACCTGCAGGACTTGTATTGTAAGCAGATAATGCTTGATGAAAGTAAGGCATTGTGGCATTCTTTTCAACCAAGATAGATTCTGAATTGGGAGAATTAGAGAAGCTCAGTAACTGCTGCTGCTGGTGTTGCTGTTGCGTTGCCTTGGAAGCTGATGGAGAATTAGAGAAGCTCAGTAACTGCTGCTGCTGGTGTTGCTGTTGCGTTGCTTTGGAAGTTGAAA